AGGCCCTCCTGTCAGTCTTTTTTTTTTTCAATTTTGAAGGACTCCGTTTACTAACTGAGCAGATGACAGAAATAAACAGGGAAGATCCCTTAGCTCATCCTTCCCATCAGCCATTGATCTGGTCCCCCTGTCCCAGCATCGCCACCTTCTACGCACGGGGGCTCCTTCCTCCCGCTCCTGGAGAGGAGACTGGAAGGGCCGCAGGAAGTTGTTCCCTTCCTCGAAGCCTTTCTTTCCCCCAGTGCAGACCTCGTGAGTCAGGTCTTCCGTGCAGATGATGCCACCTTTACGAAGAGGTGAGCGATCCATGAGCTACCTGTCGGGGCAATTGTTTGTTGATTTTGCCATAACCCCGCTTGGAGATCAGCTCATTGCCTGACTCAGGTTTGGGTACCCCCCTGCAATGTATTACTCCACCATCCGCAGCCTGCCCACGGGAGCCTGGCGGAGCTTAGCAAAGGTGCCATTGAAGATCTGGCGAAGGCGAAGAAATGGTTCCAGCCGGAAAAGAGCCTCCTGTCAGTCTAAAGTCACATGCCCATCGCCTGTCTTGCTATCTCAGCCTGATCTGTATCTATCCAACCACTAGACACTCATCACATGTCTGTCTGCCGGAGTCAGATTTGTCTGCCTGTCTGTCTCCCAGTAGGTCCCCTCCCGGGAGAGCCCTGAATCCATACCAGGCAAGGAAGCGGGGACCTTTGGAGGACCTTTCCTGGGGTCGACCTCTGGGCCCACAACCGTGTAACTCACAGCCCAGCCTTTGGGGCAGATTCAATGCTTTGCAGGTTCTGTATCTCCATCTCCCACATGCCCACTCTCCCAGGGGAGACTTCTGAACTCTGCACGGAGCAGAAGGGACCCCACCTTAGACATTAAGAGAAAAACTACAAAGACGTTACACCCAGTGCCAGGCACAGTGTCCAGGACACCCCACTGCCACCCCAGAGGGCTCTCTCCCACAGACTCAGACATCGAGTAATAACAACTGCCGTTTATTAAGTGACAGATACTATATGGCTATTATCTAAACTAATTCTCATAAAGGTAGTTATTAGTATCAGAGCTTCCCCACATTTTGTCAATTTTATATAAAAACTAGGGGCCCAGTGCATGAATTCATGCACCTTGAAAGGAACTGTGGGCCGCAAGGCTGCAGCCGGCACAGGGGCGGGTCTTGGCCCATCCTCTGTGCCCCTGCCCTTCCCCTCCTGCCACGGCCCCCAGTCTGCTGGCAGCCTTGCTCCTGCCACTGCTCCCATAAACTGACGGTGCTGGCCCTGCTAACACCTGCTGACGGTGCAGAGTGATTGGGGCCT